TGCACTGATTTTATGTCAGAGGTAGTTCAACATGGTTGTGCACACGTGAACAATTTGTTAGTAGTTACCAAAATGTTAAATGTGCATACCCCTTGGCCAGTAGTCTCACCTCTAGGAATGTATTCTGCAGATATATGAACAAAAGTGTACAAAGGTGTATGAGGATGTTCACTGGTGAACTGTAGTGGTTCTTTTCCTCATTGGCTCAGGCTCATGAGGGTCACAAATGCTAAATCACGGATCATGCAAGGTAGATTGGTAAGTACCACAAGAAAGCAGCCAAGTAACATTAAAAGGATCTGGCTGCTTTCCTCTCTGGATTATGAGCTCCATAGGGCACGAGGTCAGGTCTACTGTGTAATGAATTGATGTCTCCTGTGGGAAGAAATGCTTCATTGTGCTGCTTGCCTACTCTGTGCCAGGTGTTGTGAAACTGGCACTTTACTGTCAGTTTATAGCTAATGCTCATAATGAGACAGGCCAGTAAACTAAGACAAGTGGATTAGGGAAACTGAAGCAGAGAGCTAAACAAACTGGCAGAGTAATTTACCCAGATACAGAAGGTCACCTCCCTAGAAATGACAGCTAGGCCTCAACTGCCCAGAAGAGCAGCAAAACCATGTGGGTGACACCAGGATCGGCTGCAATGACTGATGAGCCCCTGCTCTGACACTGACCAATCAGTAACGACCACGATTCTGTTGAAACCCTCCCCCGAGACCTCCCCTAAGATTCCCACCTGCAAGAAAGAGATAAAGCCTCCAGACAAATGACCCAGCCCGTGCTCTCCCTCTGGGGAGCAACCCCCTCACTGCTCATAATGAGACAGGAATTGGCCCACATCTCTGTCAGGTGTGCCCTCTCCTCTGCAGAGGTTCTCCCCAAAGGGGCCTGTCTTTTCACAATAGACAATTCAGCCATGCAAGAAAGGGATCAAGTGAGCAGGAAATGTGAAGGAATCAAGTGGGAACTAGGTGAACATGGGTCAACTGTTTATTCATAAAGACACCCTCATCCTTTCCAGGTATGCTTTCCTACAGGCACCTCCAGCACAGGTCCTCCTCTAAAGCTGCTCATGAACAAACAGGTAAAACCACAGGAAGGAGGGCAGGAAATAATTTAGAGATATCAAATGCTCAAATCGATGGCAGGCATGACTTCTCACCCCAACAGTTTCCTCTGTAAGTACCCTCAGCTCTCAGGGAGAACAGCTGAGGCTGCAGGGCAGGGGTCAGAAAGGAACTGAAGAGATATTAGACTGGGTCTTTATGTGCAGTCACCACAGTTAAGGCAAGTGTATGTAAATAATAAGAGTATAATAAAATATAAAATGTCACTTTAACATAGCAATAAGCAAGGCCACCAAGACCAAAGACAGTAAATGAGCCAGTCATAGGAACGAGATATCAAGCAAGAGTGTCTGAAGTGCAAGTACAGATGTGTCTTTTAGACATTAACACCTGTTATGGCAGGAGAGAGAGTATTAAAGAGGACTAATATTAACTAAAAATCTGCTGTGTATTATACTTTTATTGACCAATAAAAAAAATATTCAGATGGGCAAAGCAGGCTTGCCTGAAGTCACACAATCTTTGAATAGTTGAGCCAGGATTTAAACCCAAGACCATCTGGTTCTGTACCAAAGTCTTTCCACCATTCCAAATTCCCAGTGAAGGAAATAAAGGGGATACCTGGTCAAGAAGCATCCATTTCAAGGTTCAGGACACTTCCAGAGATACAGGTCAATCTATATGCTTGAGATGGGGAAACACATAAACATCACCTTTATTGCATTTGATTAACTATCTCTTTCCATCATTGCACAAGAATTTTACAAGTATCATTAGGGGTCATGCTAAGCCCCTCCTTATAATGCGATGTCTAGGAATTTATTTTTCTTTTATTCAAGCTTTCTCCATGTCCTCTATAGGGTCTGGCTGTATGGCCAAAACTATGATAAGCTAATAGCAATTTCACAATGTCTGGTTATTATTATATTGTGTAATAAGGAATATGTAACTTGACATCATTCTGTATACATAATTTGTTCTATTGACCATTCAGTTCAAAGCTATACATGCCATGTAGATTAAGTTTTGCATCATCTTTGCTGAATTACATATCATCACACTACAGACATGAATTATCTTGTAAAATTTTATGTATAATGATGTCTTCCACAAATTTATCAAATTATTCAGGTTTCTAGTATTTATTAAGGCTTGAGCTAATACTGAAAGCTTTTCTGTGTTCACTTCATTATGGTTTTTCCACCGTTATGAATTCTCTGGTGCACAGTGAGTTGTGACTTCTGTATGAAGGCTTTTCCACATGTAGCACACTGATAGGGTCTTTCCCCAGTATGAATTCTCTGATGTAAAACAAGGTCTGACTTTTGAGAAAAGGCCTTTCCACATTCAGCGCACATGTAAGGCTTCTCTCCTGTATGACTTCGCTGATGTCCTGGGAGGTGGGACTTCTGAGAGAAGGCTTTCCCACATTCAGTACATATATAAGGTTTTTCTCCTGTGTGAACTCTCTGATGTCCAATGAGATGTGATTTCTGACAGAAGGCCTTTCCACATTCATTGCATTTGTAGGGTTTCTCTCCAGTATGTGTTCTCTGATGTATGATAAGCTGTGACTTCCGGGAGAAGGTCTTCCCACATTCAGTACATTCATAAGGTTTCTCCCCAGTATGAATTAACTGGTGTGTGATGAGTTCTGTCTTCCTGCTGAAGGCTTCTGCACATTGATCACATTTGTAGGGTTTTTCTCCAGTGTGAATTCTTTTATGTATAATGAGGTGGGACTTCTCACAGAAAGCTTTCCCACATTCAGTACACTCATATGGCTTCTCTCCAGTATGAGTTCTATGATGTATAATCAGTTGTGACTTCTGGGAGAAGGCCTTACCGCACTCTCTACATTCATAAGGTTTCTCTCCAGTGTGGATTCTCTGGTGTATAATGAGGGGTGATTTCTGGGAGAAGGCTTTCCCACAGTCACTACATTCATAAGGTTTTTCCCCAGTATGGACTCTCTGATGTATAATGAGAGATGATTTTTGAGAGAAGGCTTTTCCACATTCAGAACATTCATAAGGTTTCTCCCCTGTATGAGTTCTCTGATGTACAATGAGATGAAACTTCTCACTGAACCCTTTCCCACATGCACCACAATCATATGGTTTCTTTCCAGTATGAATTCGTTGATGTACAATAAGCTGTAACTTCTTAGCAAAGCCTTTTCCACATGTAATACATACACAGGTTTTCTCTTTAGTTTCAACATTCTTATAATGAAGAAGGGATTGTCTAGTTAAAATGTTTTTACCATCACAGGGTATTACTCCATTTTGAATTTTCTCAAGATTAAAATTGGACACATCGTGGCTAGATGATTTTTCACATCCAAATCTCTCATCAGGATTTTTTCTTGAACCAATCTCATTACAACTAGGTAGGTCAATATTAGATTTCAAGTACTTTTTAAATTCATCATAGTTATGGGGTCTTTGTCTTGAAGTATCTGGCTCTATGAACTCTTGAAACATTTTCCCCAATGCCTTATATTTATGGCCTGCCTCCACAGTCACTCTGTTGTTACTGATAACTGTTACTTGACTGAAAAGTCTGTCTTGATTTTGTGGACATCTCTGCAGCTGGCCATCAACGTGACATACTTTTAAAATGGAGTACAATGAACCATCCTTTGTGACTCCTTTCAGTGTCTTATTATGGAAGGAAAAAGACCCAAAAATACATGATTGGAGGTTTTCAAGGTTACTCGTCCTGTCTAAAGAAAAGAAAGATAAATAAAACAATCATAAAGAACAGTTAACAGAACACAGAGGTGTGAAACCAATAATTGATCTAATGTAGATGAACTCAGAAAACAAGGGTGGAGACAGGCCATTTTGTCAGATAGTACAGCATATAGTATGATCAAGTGAATGGACATACAAAGATCTCAAAGAGAAATATCCATGGCAAAGATAGACTTGAAGAAGATAGAAAAGTGTTCATGTTATTATCACTCTAATCTTGGATTACTATACTAGCATCTTCCCATTTACACCACCTTCTTAATGAAAACACCTTTCGCCTTTTTAGTTCATTTATTTTATAAACCATTTGCCATATATATATATATATATATATATATATATATATATATATATATAATTGTCCTGCCACCACTATCTAAAGAAATAAGTACTCTCTGGTACTCAAAATACTTTACTTCTCTGTCTACATTCCTAATTAACAAATAATATAAACAACAGAATAATCCACGATCCTCTTATGGGTTCAATATCAGATTCACACCAAGAATCCAAACTTGAATTCCACTATTCCTCATAAATATCTTTCCCACATTCAGTACATTTATCTTCTATATGCATCAAATAAAACTAGCAAAGTTCACCCAGAAGAGCCATATTTCCCTAACTCATATACTCCCTCCCCACGCCCCCACCACACTACAGCAGTTTGACTTCATCTTCCTCCTTTGGCATCATCAATACTTGATATCTTTCAAAGCAGCTACTGCTGCATACTCTAAAAATACCTTCTTAAATTCTGTTGCATCTCTTTAGATTCTAATTTTCTCTGAACTTTTAAAATTGGAAGCTATATTCGATATTTAATTTTGTATAGCCATGCACCTGGAAGTCTTACCTTCTAAAGTATAACCTATGTATCTTGTATGGCCTATTAAGACTTTTCATAAAGTGTGTGTGTGTGTGTGTGTGTGTGTGTGTGTGTGTGTGTATGAATGAAAGAGTGGGGATTAGTGAGAAATAGCTCCCCCTGTAAAGACTTATAATTATTTAATTGATTATTAGTTGAATGCCTACTAAATTCTCAGCACAGCAGCAAAGAATAAGAGATTTCAATAAGGATAGAAACATAAGCCTTGGGCACCAATCTGTTAAATAAAATAAACCAACAAACTGATATTTCACTTCTCTTGTCTCCCATCTGCCAGATTTTTACCTGGATAAATCCAATTTGACATGTCTCTCTTAATGATCCATGGATCTTCTCCTTGTTCCAACTTGGAGATTACATCGGGTTTGGAAACTGGATGCCCTATTAAATGGAAAACACAGAGGAACTGGGATACACTATATTGAAGGAAGAAGAGAGGGTACCGTTCAAGTGTACAATGAAGCAGTCCAGGTAGCCCTCAACAGAGTAATGACCTCCATTTGGGAAGGTATGAGGATCATAAAAGTCATTATATGTCAGGAACCACCTAACCACAGCAACTGATAAGGAAAGGTATTGGATTGTACAAGTCTGAGTTATGCAGAAAGCCATCCTTACCCATGGAGACCAGATGGCTGTAGTTCTCCAGCATCACATCCCTATACAGGGTCCTCTGAGCAGGGTCCAGTTGTTGCCACTCCTCCTGAGTGAAATCCACAGCCACATCCTTGAATGATACTAACCCCTGTAACAGTATATTCCTGTTCAATCTGAAGTGGTCATTCTTATTTCTATTAGAGCATGCAATACTATATCTACACTTGGTTTTATATCATGTTATCTGGGATAAACAATGTAATATACTGTCATTAGCTGGAAGAGCCAGATAGACCTGGAAAACAGAAGAGGCAAATAATAAAATGTCTACCTAATACAAATGATAATTTGATATATGATAAGGGCAGCATTCAAATAACTGGGAGGAAAGTGGATTATTCAATGGATAGTAGTAAAAATACTGGATAGTCAACAGGTAAAGAATAATGCTGAATCCAGGTTAAATTGTCTCCCCTGAAAACTCGTATGTGGAAATTCGAACTCCCAGTGCCTCAGAATGTTTCCTTATTTGCAAATATGTCGTTGCAGATGTAGTCAGTTACATGAGGTCGTTAGGGTGGATTCTAATCCAATATCACTGATGTCCATATCAATAGGAGAAAGTTGAACAGAGGGACAGGAGGACATAGAGAGAAGAGGATGATATGAAGAGACATGCGGAGAAGATGGCCATCTATAATCCAAGGAGAGAGCCCTGAAACGGATCCTTCCCTCACAGCCCTTCGAAGGAACCGATCCTACTGACATCTTGAGTTTCGACTTCTAGCCCCCAGAACTGTGAGATAATAAATTTCTGTTGTTTAATCTACCCAGTTTGTGGTACTTTGTTATGGCAGTCCTAGCAAACTAATACACCGTATCTGATGTCTTAGAAAACAGAAAAAAATCCATTCCAAAGGGAGCCAAAATTTAAATTATAAAAAATACCGAAGGCCATAAAAGTAACAGAACAAAACATGAGAGAATTTTTATTAATAATTATAGGGGAGAAAAGGCCTTTCTAAGCATAATACTTAGAAATCACAGAATGTCAGAGTTCTTGAATTAGATCATAATTGAATCCCCTCATTTTATAGAAACATAATCTTAGCTTCTCTGGAATTCAACAGTTCTACTACATATACTCAATAGCCAGTAATATAATGAAATACATCAATTGAAATAGCAATATCACAGAACAAACTTAAGAAATGTGCAGGAAATATTCATGGGGTGGGGGAAGAACACCTCACCAAGAAATTATTGACATGGCATTAAAATAAAGGACTTGGGTAAGTGCAGAGCCAGAAGATGTTTCTGGAGGGAGAAGTAACTATTTTAATGATGTCAGCATTATGTTCACAACAGTTGTCATCGAACAGAATCTGAATGATCTGTATTATTTTAAACTATTTGTCAGTCTTTCCTAAATATTCCATTATTATAAAACATTGCTTTCAGAATGAAAACAAATTAAATATTGTTTTCAAATATCAACATTCCCCTTCTTAAAAAGCCTCCTTTGGACCCATCCTCCTGGAACATACAAATAGCCTCATCTCAATCTTATAGTTTCTCTCGTCCCACCCCACGTCCCATATTCAGACCATCAAGCTGCCAAGCATTTAGTTTATCCTCATAACAAATCTATTAATTTTCCCATTTTATGTTTTTTTTTAAACATATTTTATTGATTTTTTACAGAGAGGAAGGGAGAGAGATAGAGAGTTAGAAACATCGATGAGAGAGAAACATCGATCAGCTGCCTCCTGCACATCCCCCACTGGGGATGTGCCCGCCACCCAGGTGCATGCCCCTGACCGGAATCGAACCTGGGACCCTTCAGTCCGCAGGCCGACGCTCTATCCACTGAGCCAAACCGGTTTCGGCCCCATTTTATGTTTGAGAAAACTGAGGATTACAGTGCTTAACTAACCACTTGCCAGAGGTTACACACTGAATATATGATTGATTAACTGAGATTTAAAAGTATGTGTTCTGATTTGGTAGTTTGGGTTCTTAACCACTGCCTCCTTGCTATTGTAAACATGATCTTTTATATTTTATGACTTCAATACCATTTGTAGTCAAACTTTACATGAAACAGCCTCCACTTTGGTTTTCCTCAAATTCTCAGCCTTCCTAAAACCACTCTGCTCTTTTTACTTTTGCAAATGCTGTTTTCCATCCTCACCCTACCTTCCTTCATGACCCAAAGTTCAATAATCTTTTAATCCTATTTCCAACTTCCTTATAAAGCTAGTTGCCTCCCCCTCTCTGCTGTAACAGTTCCTTGCACTCATGTCTATATGTCAATGTTGATTTCCACTTGGTTTACCCCATTTTCCTCCCTCGTTCCTCCTAGGAAAGAACCATGCCTAACCGTTCTTGAGATAGTCCTCTTTACAGACCTGTAACTGATGATGTCTGCAAGGAAGATCTGAAAAATCAGTACATCAATTCATTTAAATGGTTTCAGGCCAGGTTATCTACATATTACCTAGCAACTCTTTTTAAGTTTTGATCTTTATTTTGCCTACCTGTGACCTAACCCAAATTTTAGCTCTTTTTAACTTTTCCATTTGAATATGTGGAAAACCAAGGAGGAAATTTAAAAAATTAAAAATAAAAGCAACTCACCTGGGACTTCATCTTTTCTGCTCTCTTCTAAAAGAACAGATGCCTGAAAAAAGCAAAACAGGTGGTCAGGAGGACGTTTTCACAGACCAGACCCAGAATGCAGCTTCCGTATTCACCATTCGACAAACAACAGGGACCAGAAGTTGGGTGGATGACAGGCCAACCTGTGGAGAAAGTCGATGGGTCCTCGCAGAATGTTCAGCAAGCACCATGTGAAAGAAGTCCTCTTCTGACCAGATAGAACTTAGACAAGGTTTTTTAATTGTATAGAGTGAAGATGTTACATGTTGATTTACTGACAACTTACTTTCCCACCTATGAACCAGCAATTATATTTGTAAAATGTTTCCGTAAGGCATACACATGGATAGATCTCTATAAAGATTTAACTGCAGATGGAGATCCCTGGCAATAAGAACGGCAATGACCAAATGGAAAACTATGGAATGTATTTCTTTATTCCTTAGAAAGAACCAGCAACTGCATTCCAATACTCTATTATTTTCCTTCAACTCGGCAAACTCTCCTGCCAATCAATATTCATGGACCTAAATGTTGATTTCGACCTGTTTTCTGTTTAAATTTTATTGGAAGGTACATACCTGGTAAATGTTTCTCAGTCCCAGTTGGAGGCGTGCAGACAGGACTGAACTGGTTCAGAGGACGTGAGCGCTCCCATGACACGGACACTTTATCAAAACAGATCTGGAAGGAAAACCAGGAGAAAAAATCACACCAATTTCTCGGAACCCAGCAGGTGCTCAATAAATGTTTCTTGAATAAAATATAAAATGATTTCAATAAAGTTAGAAACAAGTAGGTCCAAAATCACACTTTTCATAATAATCCTATCCTTTTTGTTTGGTCTTGTTTTAAAATGATTATTTCTGGGGGGAGCATCAGATTAAGGGTGCAATGATGGATTTAAGAACTCGAGTGTCCTATGACCTGTGGAAATTTTAATGGATGTAAAACCTTTTCCAGTAAATTAGGGCTGATCACCATGATGCCCTGATACCATTACTGTTCCATCCAAATCGCTGAATCCTGGGGCTTAACAATCACATTCCCCACAGAACTCCCCTATGCCCATCACATCACTGACCACCACAAGGGCACCCCCATCATTTAGTCCACAGCCCCCTCAGCGATCACTGATTCCCAGCGTCCCCTAAATCACCGACCCAGTCATCCCCACCAGTGTGTCACCTTACGCGCCACTGCAGATTCCACAGACAACCCCGTCAATGACGCATCACTCCCCAATTACTAGTCTCATAGTTCACACCATCCCAGACTCCCAAATAAACGCAGCACCAATCCCACATTCCTTCTCCACCAAGACTTCTTAAAGCTCCAATCACTGACCCTCACGGACCCCTCCCTCCTCATTGCCAATCCGCCTTCTGACCTGCGGCTGCGTTTTCAGGTCCCCAAACGCCGGTCACTGGTCACGGCTCAATGCGAGGCGACTGTCACATCCATATGGATGAACTCTCTCGCTTCCTGTCCGGGCGAGCAGAGCGAGGGGCCTCCGAGCCTGCGCTGATCCGTACACGGCTGCTTTGACACCTCGCATCCTCAGCGGCTTTGTTCCGGAGGCAATGTGGCCGCCCCCGCGCTCTGTGTGTGAATGGGAGCCGCCCTGTTGAGGGTCCCTGCTGTTCCGTACGCGGAGGAATTCCTTCGTTCCCAGCTGTGGTTAGCAGCGCCGCGGCTGTGAGGGAGGGCAAGTGATGGGAAGGAGGATGATACAAACCAGTGAGGCGCAAACTTTGCAGAGAGATTTTACAGGAGTACTGGGGAATACTAACTGCTAAAATATTTGGGCAAAGAGCCCAGCAATGACTGAATGTTTAGAGACTTGCAAATCTGCTATACTTTTAAAGCATTCTGACACATGCACAATTCAGGTGGCAAAGAGTGGGAGCCATACTGGCTGTAGATGTCTGATATAACTTCTGTTCAACACCCTAACTCACTTCTATTTTGTGCAGGTGCAGGGGAGCCCTTAGAGACCCTGGGTTTAAAACAAAACAAAAACTAAGCAGAGAAATCGATAATAACACTCCATGGGAGAAACAAATGTCACAGTTTGAGTCTAAGCAAGTTAAATGTTTTTATACCAAAAACAAAATCTTCAGAAGGACCAGCAGAATTCAGAGACACTACATTACAGTATATGGTCTACGATGTAGTTTTAAACCAAAGAAACAGGAAAATATGACCTAAGGAACAAAATCAGTCAATAGAGACAGACTTTAAGGGGGTGTAAATGTTATATTTAGCAAACAAAGTTATTAAAGAAGCTATTATAAACATTAAATATTTAAGGGAAAATATGATAAAAGTGAATTAACAAATAGGCAATTTCAAAAGAAAGTACATAAAAGAACGAGTTGGACTATAAAGAGACAGCAAGAGGAAATTTTGAGAGTAATGGAGCTTTTTTATGTCATGATTGGGAGGTAGTTAACTCACTTTATGTCTCTGTCAAAAATTAAAGAAGGAGTAATATGTATTTTATATAAATTAAAAGACAAAAAAATTCCAAGGCTGAAATACAAATTTGACTAGATGGGCTCATTAGTAGATTTGACAAAGCACAAAGCAAAATCAGAATTGTAAACTGGTAGCTAAGTCACTACAAATTATCCAATCTAAAGAACAGTAACAACAAAAAGATTATAAAAAATTAAACGAAACCTCAGTGATCTATGGAACAATATTAGGCATTCTAGCATATAAGTAATTGGCATGAGAGAAAGAGGGGAAAGAAAGAGGCAAAAAATGTTTGGAGAAATGTCTTTAAAATTACCAAATGTCATGAAAAACATTAATTTACACATCCAAGAAGCTCAATAAACCTCAGAGAGTATACCTAGACAACTAGCCACATTACCTTGGCTAGTTCACAACACTGAAAGCACAAAGAATAAAATGTTGGAAGCTGATCCAACCTACAAAAGAATCTAACAATTCACTAAGGCACAGAAGACAGGTTCACTCAATATCATAAGTTATACAATCACAGGAAGGTAAATACCGTTCAAGCTATTCAACATAGGTTTTTGAAAAGAAATAAAACATATTTTCAATGTTTAATTAATTGCAGGGTAGTAGTTTTACTATATTTCCATTTCTCTATACAGCTATAACCAACAGTAAAATAGTGTTTAATGTTTTGACAAGAAAAGTTTAAAGGTCACAAAACAATCAGGGTTAAGAGGTTACTTCCCAGGAACCTAGAACAAAAGCCAGCCAAATTCTTTATTACACAATAGTAAATGCTGTTTAGGCCTTTCTTTTTGTTGTAATTTTCAAGCCACATGAAAACTGTAATAACATGAAAGGTGATTATCCAATATTCTTTTTTCCAAATAACCAGTTTCCCTAGAAGCATGGCTACCTATCAGATAGGGCACTGATTAATGTTGCACTAGATCAATTTGGAGGAATAGCATCTTCATAATATTACACTGTCCTGTGGAGGAAAGCTACCTCTCAGCTTTTTCAAGTTTTTCTTTTTAAATATTACTCAGATGAGTTAGCTATTAGTCTTTTTTTTTTAAGTTGATTTTTTTTTTGAGAGAGAGGGAGAGAGAGAGGAAGGGAGAGCAATGTCGATTTGTTGTTCCACTTATTTATGCATTCTTGTATGTGCCCTGACCAGAGATCAAACCCACCATGTTGGTGTATCAGACGATGCTCTAACCAACTGAGTTACCCGGCCAGGGCTTAGCTATTAGTCTTCATATTTGTGTAATCTATATGCATGTGTGTGCGCGCTTAGGAAATAAGCCACTTGGTCACAGAATACTAATTTAAAGCACTGTAAGCCTTGATTTACAGGCATTTTAAAGAAATCTCTAAGATATATTTCCCCTTTCGTCATAACGTTTTACTCACAGATCCATCCAGGGAAGTGGAAATGCTGACCACAAGAAGTAGGAAAGGCCTTGGGCTCAAACTCAATTTCCACAGTGCAGCCCTCACATCTTCAGTGAAATGTGATCTCACCAGGCAGAATTCTTGCAACGGAGAAGGTCTGGTCGCTATCCCTAGGCTTGTCGCCAAGCGCCGCCTGTACCTCGCTGAGCCTGCGTCTTTCTTAAGGAGAGTATTGGGAACGGAGGTGGGGACCGCATGCTGGAATCGGTGGAACTGGCCTAAAGCCTCGCGTGCACCTGACCTATCACTGCGCCCTGTGCCCGGCCGAAGCGCAGGCGTTCTGGGAGATGCAGTTTGCAGGCGGAGGAACGGGCGTCCGCTTTTGCGCAAGTGCTCTCCTTGCCCTCCTAGCACTACCCCACGGGGCCCAGTCCCTCACTTGGCTGGCCTTAGTCACAACTGGGGGTGTGCTGAGCCGAGGAAGTGGGTGCAGGCAGACAACAGAACTCAGCAGGACTTGGGGGTAGGTGTGCACTGGAGTGTGTCAAAAGCTGCTGTGAGCCCTAGCTGGTTTGGCTCAGTGGATAGAGCGTTGGCCTGGGGACTGAAGGGTCCCAGGTTCCATTCTGGTCAAGGGTACATGCCCGGGTTGCGGGGCTCGATCCCCAGTAGGGGGTGTTTAAGAGGCAGCCAATCAATTCTCTCTCATCATTGATGTTTCTATCTCTTCCTCTCCCTTCCTCTCTGAAATCAATATATATATGCTGTGACCCTCCATAACCTGGTCCGTGTGCTGAGTTAAACTGGGCGGGTGGACCGGTGGGCGGGCCCAGGACTGCGTTCTTGCGGGTACACTTGCACCTAGGTGTCCCGCCCTGCGCTCCCAAGAGTACCCAACCCTGACATTATGATGAGGAGTGCCTCCGGGGATTGGAAAGAGAACCAAGCTTTACTGAAGGTCTGAAATGTTCCAGATGAAGTGTTTCCATGGGTGACTAAATTTAACCTTAGAGCAACCTTGTAAGCCAGTTTTTCAAACTATGGGCAGCCACCCAGTAGTGACTACGGATGGTTAAGTCTGCTTGGCGACTGAAGACTAGTGTATTTATGTGCCAGCACTTTTCTTAAGTTGGG